TATGGGGTACAATGCGATGTTTTGATAAACCTGTGTGTGTGTATACACATACATATAGTGGAATGGTTATATCAAGCTAATTAACATATCTATCACCTCACATATTTATTTTTTTGTAGTCAGAACATTTAAAATCTCTGTCAGCAATTTTGAAATATACTTTATTATTAACTATGGTCACCATGCTGTGCAATAGATCTCAAAAACTTATTCTTCTTGTCTAACTGGAACTTTGTATCCCTTGATCAACATCTCCCCGTTCCCTCCACCCCACACCTCCCACCTCCCCAGCTTCTGTTAATCACCATTCTCCTCTCAACATCTATAAGTCTGACGTTTTTAGATTCCATATGTAAGTGAAATCTTGTGGTATTTTTCTATTAGTGGACTTTAAGGTATCATAGTACTGAGTGGATATATGTGGGGGAGAAAGTAATAAGAGTTCACAGGAGGTGAGCCTACTTCCTGAGAACTGTGTTTTTAGTAAGCAACAAAGATTGCACAGCATGAGGAACCATGAAGTTTAAACAAATCCTTAAACTAAGTCAGCAGAAGCCTCTACTAGTTAGCAGCTGATAATATTGCTCTTAGACAAGGAGTTGGCTTTTGTCAGTAGGTCTAAGGGAAGACTGTAGTAAGAAATTGGATTCTGATGATTCCTCGTGTTCTATTAGAGTATTAAGGGCTTATCTACATTGCTCAGGTGCAAATAGGTAGAAAGCTTTATGACAATTAGGAAGGCCCCAAGGAGGGGGGCTCTTGAAGAGTAATTTTTAAATCACAAAATTCTTGTTTAAGTTCCTGAGGGAGAGATTCCATTATTGAGGACTTAAGTTATATAGAGGTATAGTGATTTTAGAAATGTTTGGAACCCAGTGTCTGCAATGGCCAGTGAAACGCAGAGAACTTCTTAATTGTCTCTTAGTAACCAGCCATGGAAAGTATTGAATGGGTTATAATTCATCAGAAGTGATAGATTTATCCCCTTGGGATAAATCATACCCTAAATAGTTTACTTTGTTCTGACAAAATTCTAAACTTTTTTGGGAATTTTCATGTCTTTGCTAAAACGGTAAGTTGATAAATGGAGTCAGTCTTAGAGCTCTCCTCATCTTTAGAGCATAGCAAAACCTGTCCACATATCATATAACTATAGTGTTACAGGGAAATTTAAGGTCCTTAAGGTTCCTCACTAAATCTCTCACGTAAAACTATAGAGGTAAATTGTTGATTTTCTCAGAAAAAAACAAATAGGTGTTGACTATCTTGATCTAAAGGGACACCATGGAAAGCAGAATACATATAGTGTTAAAATACAGCGGTAAAAAATGCAGCCTCAGGTAGCACTGAAGATAAAATAGTATTTGGGCTCAGTACTATGAAGAAGTAAGTAAAATTTTTATTTTGTTTATGGCCTTAAGGTCTGAACAAATCTTTATCCTCACTTAATTTGGTTTCTTGACTGGGAAACAGCAGTGTTTAAAGACTGGCAGAATGTATAATTCGTCCTTTCTCCTTTGGGCTATTGGCTTTAGTTCTAGAGCTTCCGGTTTTTGAGGTATTTTGTAAACGTAGGTAGAAGTTTAGATGGGTTGATCTGAACTTTGCTGGCAATATCAATCTGGAGACAAATAAAAGAAAAATTTGAAAGTGCCACTTTGAAAAATTTGAAAAAATTGAAAACTTTGCCACTTTGAGACCAAATTTTTTAATAAGAATTATTAACTTTGACAAAAACAGAAGAAAAAATTTAAAATCACCTTGAATCTAAAGAACAGAACATACAACTTCCACCAAAAAAAGGGGGAGAAAGGAAGAAAAAAAATGGAATCATATATGTGGGTTTTTTTCGAAAATTTCCTGGGATAGTTTTGGTTTTATAAAAAATTATTTCAGTGAATATAAAGATGTGTATGTTGACAGATAAGCATTAGTGCTTGGATAATAACATTGGTTTCTCTGGAAACCCTAAGACTATATAGTCTGCTTGTGTACTAGGACTGTTAATTTTATAATAATAACTTTTAGTTAAAAGATA